AAAAAAAAAAAAAAATCATGATGTGTAAGGTACTGGGAGGATGGTAGTGTGGGGCCGCAACTCTTGCAGCCCCGCCGCAGCGCTGTGAGCTGCGCTTTGCACAAACTGCCGTCGAAAACACATTTCCCCATCCCTGGTCCTTTGCCCTCCCCACCTCCCCCAGCCCTGGAACCCGTGAGACGAGCGGGGGCTGATGCGGTGCCGCGCGTTACCCAGCGACCGGCACTCGCTCCCGGCGTGGGGCCGGCACCGACAACAGCGGCGGCGGAGCGGGAGGTCACCGCCCCGGAGGCGGGGTCTGCCGGGGAGGCGGTGCGGGGCCAATCACGGCCCAACGCGCCACTTTCAAACCCCCCCGGGCACCGGAGCGAAGGGCGCTCGCTGGGCCGCCGCCTCCCGCGAATCTGGGCTGCGCCGGGCAACAAAGAGGGGGCGGAGCGACCGCCGCTGTTATCGCAGGGCCCCCGAAGTGTAGGGACACACTTCCTGTTTAGGGAAGTCCGGGTCTCCCACGGAGGCTGTACCGAACGTGCACGTACCAAAAATCTTAAATCTTTATTCCGTATAAACTCCTGCTAAACCTTTAGAAGATTTAGCTGCCGTGATTTACCGTAGTGTTCCAGCTCTTTTTGAGAGTGAGTGGGTGGCTCTTAAAAGAGCCTTTGGGTTTATTTCAATGAGTGGACTCCTAATTTCTTCTGTCACCTTACTTCTTTTTAGGCGCCGCCTTCTTCGCCTTGGCTGCTTTGGGCTTGGCTGCCTTAGGCTTGGCTGCTTTGGGCTTCACCGTTTTTGCCTTGGCCGGGCTCTTTGCTGCCTTCTTGGGGCGGCCTGGCTTTGCGGCTTTCTTGGGGCTCTTGGCTGCTTTCTTGGCCGCCGCAGCCGCCGGCTTTTTAGCCTTCTTAGGGCTCTTTTTCACAGCCGCTGCTTTCTTGGGCTTCTTGGCGGCGCTGGCTGGCTTCTTGGCCGCCGGCTTCTTGGGCTTGGCTGCCGGCTTTTTCTTGGTTGCCTTTTCTTTTGTCTCACCCGGTTTCTTATTCAGCTTGAATGACCCGGAGGCGCCGGTGCCCTTGGTCTGCACCAGGGTGCCTTTGCTGACGAGGCTCTTGAGCCCCAGCTTGATGCGGCTGTTGTTCTTCTCCACATCGTAGCCGCCGGCAGCCAGCGCCTTCTTGAGCGCGGCGAGGGAGAGCCCCTTGCGCTCCTTGGAGGCGGACACGGCCTTGGTGATGAGCTCGGTGACGCTGGGCCCCGCGGGCTTGCGGGCTTTAGAGCCGGCAGCTGCTTTTTTCGGCTTCTTGGCGGCGGCCTTGGCGCCGGGAGCAGAGACCGCGGGAGCGGCAACAGGCGCGGTCTCCGACATCGCGTCAGGCTCGTCCACGATCCACGAGAAACCACTGGGCCTGGAGCTACTCAGCGGCCTCGTATTTATAGAGCGGAGCCGAGCGGTGATTGGTGCGTTGCAGAGCCCGCCCCGCTGCACGGCAGAAAGGTCCCTTCTCCCCGCTCATTTTGTGTTTCTTAGGAGCCAAAAAAGCCTGTTTTTATCAGAATTTCTGCCACCGACCCCCCTCCAGTTCGCAGAGGCGTGGAAAAGAGAGACTCTTGTCCTCCTCGGCAAAGTTTCCTTTCGAAGAGGCAACGGGTGAGCTAAAAAAGAGGCGATAAACCCTGAGTCCTGGACCTGGACAGACCTCGGGAGACAGAAACTTTTGTTTTTCCTTCTAAATAAAATCCGCGACGTGGGGAACTAAATTTCCAAAGTAATTATTTAATATTCTTTAAAGGGTCTTCTCTTAATCTAAACTGAAAAACAGGAATTTGAATCAATATTTTAGTCACAAATTGATTTCAAAGAGGAGGAAGTAACACAGGCTCATCTTGAGCACTGAATATGGATTAGAAATTAGCTCCTTTGTCCAAAATACTTCACCTCTTTCAAAATAATTAAAATAAATTGAACTAGTGCATTATGCAGCAAGGCAAGAAGCAGATTAAAGTCCTGTGAAGGGCTGTTCGTGCCCCAGAAGGAGATGACTTTTTACAGCATAGCAGCTTGTACTGTGTTGCTCAGTGTACACAATGCAGACATGGTTCCCTCATGCTCTGCTACAGAAATACTTAATTTCTTATTAAATTAGGTAACATAAGAACTCAACACGGCCACTTTTTGTTAATAATCATAATCAGTGGTCTAACACTTGGTAATTCGTCAGTGGTTTTATTTTGATACAGCTTGATTGGTGAAAATCTGAGTCATGGTTACCTAAGGAGACACTGCTGCAGCTGATTTTTCCCATACTTCTACACAATAAAACATGCTCAAGTGATCCATTAGGACTCCTCTTTCACAGCAGATTCCTAAATATTCCGTTTTCTTACTGTTCA